TACACACCTGGGGGGGGTGATGTTTTTGGGATCGGGGGGGGGGGGAGCTTGGGGAGGGCAGGGGTTTGGGGAAAGGAGGGGCCATGGAGTCACTGGGAGTCAGGGGCATGGTGGGCAGCCCCCCCCCCCGTAGTGGGGTATTCTGGGTCCACAGGAGCCCCTTTTGCACATGCAAATTATTCTATTTCTTTAAAAATATTTTTGTGCCTCCTTTCCATCTAGTTTCGGGCCTCCAAGGTGGCAATCAGAAACAACTTTAAAAAAACACACACAATTTTTAAACCTGTTTTTAATGTATTTATTGCAGCACACGAGTTTGGCATCCTGTTACCTTTGAAAGCTAGATAGAAACACTTGAACACTTGAAACACTTGATCTGCAACTTTTTGCTTACATGGAAAGGTAGTTTTAGTATGATCTGTGAGCATTCCTGGAGTGCAAAGTCATCAGTGGCCTTGCGACATTCTAAAATTTTACCCAGATGCCTGGGGATGAAGTATTTCACTGCAGAGTAGCTGAAAGGGTGCAAAGCCAGGGTGAGTCCCCATCACTGCCTCGATGAGGGCTAGTGTGGAGGGCAGCCATGGGTGTCTCTGTCTCACCAGTCTGTTTTCTTTTCCCATTCTGGAAAGGTGGAAAGTGGCAGGTCTCAGCCCGTGTTCCTCCTCCTGCGGGCTTGGGGTGGCCCTCCAGACTGTTATTTGCATACAGTTTTCTCGAGGCCGAGAGATTGAAGTGACAAACACCTCTTGCCTGGAAGCAGAGAAGCCCCTTCCCAGCATCCCCTGCATCGACCGCATGTGCTCTTACGAGTGGAGATCCACCGAATGGACAGAGGTACTTTCCCTGTTTTTGGCGAGGTGTTTTATTTTTCTAACAGTCCCAATTTCTGTCAGCTTTTTTTCTTGGCTAGAGTAAATGCTTTACCACCTGCAGAATCGTCAGGTCTCTGCTCTTGGGGAAGAGCTGTAATTGAAACTTTATCTCGTTTTGTATTTCGCTGTTATTTGTGTTCATAAGAGCTAAATATATGAGCTTAAATATATGCTCTATAAGAGCTAAATATATGCTGCCTTTATTGAACAGGTTTCCTCTCTGCTCACATGATTTTCATCTGTTATATCTTTTGGCTGGTAATGATAGGCATGTTACTTTGTGGTGAAGTTTATATCTTGTGCCCTTCAGGGGTCATTTCGTAGAAAAAGAGCTAGGGGAACTCATTAGCATAACTCATTAGCATATGCCACACCCCCTGACATCAGGGGCCTGGAGGTGGACCTGCAAGGCCAGCGGGAGTGCGAGGAAGCCCCGCCAAGGCCCTCCCTGGCCCCAGGCAGGCAGGGGTGGGGAGAGGCGGGGAGGAAGCAACTTACCCTCCCTCTTCTCCTGCCTCCTTCTGGCTAAATGAGGGCTGGAAGCAGGGCGGCCGGAAGCAGGGCGGCCGGAAGCAGGGGGCGGCGCTTCATCATGTGCCCCGCCCCCCGTACCTCACCCGGGGGAACTGTGTTCCCCCGCGTTCCCCCCCCCGAAATGACCTCTGGTGCCCTTAGAAATAGGCAGGCCTACATTAAAGCTGTCTCTGGGCTTGAGCATTAGTGGGGCTGTTGTTGTATTAGTTTCACCAAGGTGATCTGGGGCACGTAGGTGCTCTCCTTTTGGATCAGGAACAGGACAGAGGTGCCTGCTGGAGCTGCCACCGAATGTGGGAAGGTGTTAGAATTGGGCTGACTTCCAGGAGTCGGACCCTGAAGGGGCCGGGGATGGGAGTACTTCGTGACAAGAGTGTTTCTGGTACCTGACGATGTGCCCCTTCCAGTCTGGGTGGGGCCTGCTTTGAGTGCCTGGCTTATTTGCATTTAAACACCGACTTTCTCCTTTGCCAGTGCTCCGTGTCTTGTGGGAGCAGCATCCAGACCCGGGAGGTTTTCTGCACCAGTCCCCAAATGGGAGCGCGAGTGAACCCCATCCTGTGCAGGAATTCCCCCAAGCCCGTGAGAGTGCGCAGCTGCTCCCTTGGCCCCTGCCTGGAACAAACCAGGGCAGACGGGCACCTCGGGTGGGAGAACGGGACTCCAGCGCCAGGTGCTGGCCAGATGGCGACAGGAGCCACTCCCAGCCCCAGGGTACCAGGAGAGAGAACCCTGGATCTCCCACGGCCTGGCAAAGCATCTCCTTCTGGGAAGCAACTGGAGGAGAAGATACCGGGGGAGGACCACACTGGTGAGCACAGTTGGGTAGCGGCGGCGGGGCGGGCAGGTACTCATTTGCATATTAAGCGACACACACCCTAATGTAGCCAATCCTCCAAGAGCTTACAGTAGCTCCTGTAAGAAGAGCTCTGTAAGCTCTTGGAGGATTGGCTACATTAGGGGTGTGTGGCCTAATATGCAAAGGAGTTCCTGCTACAAAAAGAGCCCTGCGCTGTTTATTTTTATGGGGATCCGGCTGGAGGCAGACGTTGGGACAGCGCAAAGGAGTCAGCTGCACAACAGCCTCGTCTTCTTTTTTAAATTAGGGTTGGATTGAGCCCAAGTTAAACTCTTTCCAGTTCTTTGGATTCCTCTGGGAGAGATTTAAACTCAGGCAGCCCCTTTGCCAGGATTTTTTCGGGGGGGGGGGGGCTGCCAGGGCACTGCTAAATAAATTAAATGGCCCTGGTGAGTGAACGGATGTCTCAGCTCCCTGTTGGTGGCGCTGGCTGGCTCCCAACACTGGGTTGCCTGAGGAAGGCCTACCAGGTGACTTCTCCACAGCTCCCACCCCAGCCTCCCTGCCACCTTTGGGCCCTCCCACCTCCAGATGGAACCCCTCGGTTGACCCCTCGAGTGCCCCCCCTTTCAACCCCACACCCTTGCCTGGCTTCCTCCACTCAGGACCCAGCTGCGTGGCTTGATGATCCCCAACCAGGGGGTCCCCCCATATGCATTGCAGTGGCAAGGGTGGCCCGGAGCCCATGGGGTGCCAATGCGGGTGGGAAGGACAAGGGTGGCTGGGCTCTGCAACTGTTTCTTGCCCCAAGAAGTGGCTACATGGCAGACCCAGCAAGCCCTGCTTCCCTTCCACCCCCAATGAAGGCACCGAGCATCTGCCGCCACTGGGCTGCCTTTGGCACCTTGTCTGGAGGGTCAGCTCAGGGGACAGGCCTGAAGCAATTTCGCTAATCTTCCTTCCTTCCTCCTTCCACCCTCCAAGAAGCAGGAAGAGCTGCAGGAAGGAAGTAGGGTTAGTGAAATTGCTTCAGGCCAGTGTAGATTAAACGATGCCTGGCTGAAAGGGAAGATCGGGGTGGGGGATAGGGGTGGGGCACTGCATATACAAAAGGGGGCACTTCCCATGTGCCCCACCACTGGGTATGGCCCTGCACTTGCCCCTTCATGGGTCATACCACAGTTCTTTACCTGCATCCCATGAGTCACATCCAATGTTCCCTCTAAAGCTGAGTTACTGTGAGCTAGCTCACAATTTTTCAGCCTCCGCAGGGGCCCCCGTCAGGCCACATGATGCACCCGGGCGCTGTGTCCTCTGGCCACGGCCGGTGTGTGGGGGAGACTGGGGTGGGGCCGCTCTAAACGTGAAAGGGGTGGAGCCCCATGTGCCCCGCTGCTGGCTACAGCCCTGAACACAGGTGACCGCCATTGGAATGAAGGGGGCTGGTAGCTTAAATGTGGCTGGGTTGTGCCCCCATGTTTCTGCCCCTTAGGGCTGCATAGATGGGCTTCAGCAAGACAGTGGTAAAGCCCCTCACGAGCTGAGCCGAGAGGTGTCAAGGGAGGGGGCTCAGGGGGGGGCTCCGTGTCGCTCCTCCGCAGTACCTTCGTCCCGTCTGCCCTCCTTACCACGAACACCTCTGTGGCCTCCCCAGACTGTTTCCACTTCTCACCACCCCAGAAGTCTCCTAAGAAAAAACCTCAGTGCCCAGAAACAAAATAGGCTTAACTTTAAACTGCAGGTCCTGGTTTTGGAGAATTGCACAATAATTCCTTTACTTCCCCCGC